CAGTCTGAGAATTTTCTGTATAGAATTTGTTATATTTAGCTATTTTTTGTTTTGGATGACTTTGCCAGCAATTCCTCAAGGTTGAAATTATTTTACTTATACAAAAGCTAATGGGGATTGATCGTTAATGCTTGGTGTCCTTAGTTTTTAAGCTTAATGAGGGATGGAATGTCTCCAAATAAGGGTCAAAACCGATTTTGTTTAAGGCACATTTTTTGTAGATATTTGTAATTGTGACTAATTAAGAAACGGTAAGTCTTTCAGACATTTTTTCGAATTATAATTCTAGTCATGAAAAGTTAAAATAATTTTTTCACAAAAACGAAAATACGTTTGGGATGATTTGTGGAGAAAACATGAATAAATCGTCACAAAATTGGCCTCCTAAGGCCTAAATGAAGTGCTAGTCTTTCACAAGTCATCATTAAATATAAAGTAGGACTTTGTATAATTTAATTGAATTAGAGGGGGAAAGTGGAAGACGTAGATTATAGTTGGAAGTGAAGGGGAAAGGTTCCGGTACTGAATGAGGGGTATCCGGTTCGTGCGATCTTTGTTAATTGATAAGATATCAATTAAATTTAGCAACAGCAATTATGATGTGGAATTGAGTCGACGTTTGCACTGTTCGTGGAGATGGATTTGAGTGGAGTTGTCACATGCCTACTGTAATATCTGATTTGATTGATTAAAATACCCCATCTCCTTCATGATCTTTGTCATCCATAGATTAGCTAATCTTTGTACCCGTACATTAGCTGGGCTATTGTTTGTATTCTGTTGGCGTGTGTTCTAAATCTAATCTATGGAAATGTTAATGCACTTCACTAATCATTTTTTTTGTATCTCCGCTAGGAGCTAATAGCAGCAGCTCGAGGTCATGAGGTGCATGTGATGCTTGAGGATCACCATAATGAGCCCTTCCAAGCACCATCTCAACCCAAGTTGAAGCCCTTTTCTGGTGTTGGTAGAATGCTAGGCAATCCGACACCTAAAGTTGTCACTAATGCCCCACCTTCCGCCTCCTCGTCTGCAGCTCCACCACCGGCTCCCGAAGTGGATGAGTCAAAACCCATCACACAACTGCAGGTTCGCATGCCTGATAGCTCTAGGTAAGTTTTCTTTTCAACATTTGGCTTCATTAGTTTGTTACTATTTAATTTTTCTATGGGCTATTTTTACAAATTTGGCATTGATTAAGCAAATCCCTCTTCAATAAAATGTTACTTTTACAGGATTGTTGTCAAATTGAATAATCATCACACTGTTCAGGATCTTCGCGCCGCCATCATTCAGTAAGTCTTTAAATTTATGTCTAATTTGAATTATGTGAAATTTAATGCATTTTATATTTATCTACAAATTAAGATGGTAAACACAGTACTATCCGGGCACGCAGATGCGTAGTTATATGTGTAATGATATACCTCGGAAGGGTACAGGCAACTTCCATCTTAAAATGTGATTTTGAATATACTGGCAATGACTCTGTTGTCAATGTTATGATACCATTATAGTGTGGCTTTTCGACCATCCTGGTTTGTTATAAGACTTAAAATGACCATAAATTTGTTCCCTGAAATCCTTATTGACCGTTACACTCGTCGGTAATGCGAAAGCATTGCTTCCCTCCTTTCCATCCTGATTGATTTGTCTTACCATGCCTTTGTACGAGCTTTCTTAGAGTTTGTATCTGATGAATAAAAAGCCTTATGGCCAAGGAAATGGGAAGCCGAAGTATCCTTCATCTAAGCCCTATCGTGCGATTTTCCAGAAGATTAGTCTTCTGAGGGAATCTTAAGAAACGAACTTTCGTTTAAATTACTTTTTCTATTTCTGTCTTAGTCAACGACCGGAGATGGCTTTCGACGTGTTCAGCCTGAGCATTCCATTCCCACGTACAGATATAAAGGACGATTCTGCAACTCTTGCGAGTGCTAACCTGCTCAATGCTTCAATCGTTGTTACGAAGCAGTAGAGTCCCTCGGTTTCTTCACTTTCCCCTCATCAACATAAACATTGATGTCCCCTTCTCTTACTTTTAGATATTGTTTCACTTTCAGTAAACCCTGTTTTTCATGAGATGGGTGTTAACTACCTAATATACATATATACATGTATATATAATATATTATAGAATAATTTAAAAATTCTGGATGCACCAGGAAACGTAAAGAAAACATAAGAAGTGTTAATTCAACTCCAGCATCTAACCACATAGAATTTTTGATTTATAAAATACTATAGAGAGAATCAATAATCATGAATTTAAAGCCACTAGAGAGGGGTAAACTAGGCTCGGATAGAAAAAGAATGAATACCAAATCCACCTAGAAAAGAAGGCCATTGTTCTTCCATGATTAGTAACTAAAAATTAACATTCTAATTGAATAACTTTATAATAAGGATTTAAAGATTTTATCCCACTCTTAAGCCTATAAAACCAGATCTAATATAAAAATTCAATCAAGTATATTGAAATATTCATAATCATAAGGTGATCTGACAACAATCTAAATATTTTAGAAATACCCAGTCTAGAATATTCTTAAGAAGACAGTTAGCCATAAACGAATGCTCTAGATTTCTTCAATTCAATAACCTCGACGAACACAACTCGCTAATTACTCTAATAAAAATCCACCTATAACAAGAAATAAAAGGAAAGTTTGTGTATAACAATTCTTGCTAAGGCATAGCAAATCTGAATCAAATATAGTAAATAAACTGGTAAAGACGAGTAATTAAACCCTCACTCATATGATCTACCTCACGGTATTCTATCAATAACTCTTCTATTAAAAAATAAGTTACTAAAAATAAACACGCATGTCTCACTACTCTAGAAATTAGTGAATTTGCACAAAATTATGGACGGAATAACTTCAAATAAGTAGAAAGTAATTAGTTACACTGCTGTGATATGGGTTTCTTAAGCTTTGCCTTTCGGCAATCTGACCATTACCTCGTACTCGAACAACCTAGAGAAAATTTACAAACGATAAGCTGTCGCCGCCGCTACGTCAATGCCTGCCAATCGATGATAGAAGAGTGCACTTTGAAGTCAAATTTGGGACAGGGTTAGGAACTCTTGTGAACCTAATGCTACATAGGATGTAAATTGCTCTATACACAATGTCCACCAAACAAATATATTTAAATAAATACATTTTCTCAATTGATGTTATCGATAAAGTAGCCTCGTTAGGAGGGAGGCTAATAACCAACACAAGGTACTGATACTTCTAGCTGTGGCTTACTGATAAATGTCACAAGTACGTGATTACTCCAAATGTGCTAGTATTACCAGAATAAAGCCATCTCCAATATGTCACTGATTGACAACATGAGATGGCTATTGAGGTTCGACCATAACTACAGTTCCTGGGGTCTTGAAAAAGGTGGCGAGAATAAATTTCCTTCAAATTCGTAACATTTTTCTTGAAAATGTGTTTTTCAATGGTATATTGGATTAAAATGAAATAACTGTTCAACTATTTGGCCAATAATTGTGACTTTCATTTGAGTCCTTAAATCAGCTTGATTTTTATATTCTATCAAAACGAAATTTGTGCATGTGCACCAAACATGATCGATTTGATTACTGCTATAAAGGACCACACCAGAAGGGAAAGAGAGAAGTGTTCTCGATGAAATACCAGACCTGAAGCTTCCTATTCATACTCTTGAACTTCTGCCAAGTTGATTGAAGTAAATTGAGCAGAATATTGGTGCTAGAGTTGCATGCACAACGTGGGAGAAGATTAATTATCAGAAAACAGACTAAATGATGAAAAGCGCTTGCGTTCATCGCTCCATGGGAGATGAAAAAGTGATACATCGAACACAGTAGAGAATTGCTATACGACTAAGCCTTGGTTTATCCTCAGAAAGCTCTATGGAAAAAAGCCCCCAGTATGAAATGGCTCCCGAAATTAGCTAGTCCGCTTCACGACTTGTATGAAGCTGACGATTGACACGGAACACGTATATTTGCGTTGTTTATTTTATAGTATATATCCACCACATGGGAGATCGACACAGAGCTTAGGTACTAACTGTTTTTGGTACGCTAAATCAGTAATTCCCACTTTCCACAAAGCTCGAGCGCGTGTGAGATAGCTTAGTTTGATCGTATTAGGTTCATGTGCTACACAACACTGAATTGATATTCTACTGCCTACGCATTACTTAGAATTACTCCGTTTTCCTATCACGTTCCTAACCAATGGCTAGTAAAATGGGACTGGTTAGAGGTGGGGAAGTTAAAGGAATTACAATGTAGTGGTTTACAGCATTTCTATATTTTTTAAACTTCATCTGATTTAATTTTTTAAGTGTAAACTATGTAGACATTCGTTCACTCGGAAGTTCTCTCTCAAAACTCATATGAAGAGGATTCAGAAAAGTTTGCAATTTAATTATAAAAGTCTAATTGAATAAATTTAAAATAAGGTTTGAAAAATTCTCTGCGAATCATTTAAAACATCATAAGCCTTTAAAACCATATCTTATACCTAATAATGTACCAATTATACCTAAACACTTATGATCTAATGTAAAAATTCAACAAAATATGTTAGGAAAATTCGTAATCATAAGATGATCGAACAATCTTACAGGAAAGCGTTTACTCGGGGTGCGTGAGTGAGTGTGTGTAAGGACAGAGAGCTTAGTCATTATATCAATATGGCGGTTTCGATAAACCGAGCGAGGACTATTGATTATCGGTGTGTGTTTCCGCACTTACTCCTTAAGCGAAGTTGCACGGCCGCACCTTCTAGCCTGTCTGGGTGCGCATGAGATTATTTTGTTCAGCGGTGACGTGAGCCCCAAAATACTCCCCCTCCCACTCCAGAGGTAAAAAACGTTCAAAAATTAGTGAAGGTACGTAAACAGTTAAGTGGGAGGGGGAGGAAACTCTTCCAACGAGTGTAAGAAGGTTTGGGTCGAGGAATGAAAGGTTTTGGGACGCTAAGGCTTACAGGTGGAATCAAGGAGGCCAAAGTTGGGTGTAAAAAATTAGCGTTTTTCAACTTCCTAACCAATTGCTATTAAAATAGGACTGGTTGGGGTGGGGAAGTTAATGGAGTTACGATGTAGCGTCATACAATATTATTTAAAATTATTGTAATTAATTTTTCAATTGCTAACTATGCGGACACTCGTTCACTCGGAATAACTCACCCAATATCCATGTTAAGAGAATCCATAAGGGTTTGTAATTTAATTGCCCCATCAACTGAAATAACTTTATAATATGGCTTTAGCAATTAAATTCCGACCAATAAACTAAAACTTAGGCCTATAAAACCAGCTTGTGTACCTAATAATGTATGAGTCATACCTATAGGCTCTTCCACGTGGTGCACCCTGCCCATAATTCAAAAAAAAGAAAATAAGTAAAGATGCTCAAACACCCCCCCCCCATATATAAATTCAAATCAAATATCGTGAGCAGCAATGCATCGTTCATGGTCAAAAAGCCTTTTAATACTAAATGAATGGCGCAACAGTTCTTGAAAGTTTGATACGGAATATAGCAACTCCCTAAAGAGCGCTTATAGCATGTAAAGGTCAAAACGTCCGACATGACTATTTTAAACATCATTCACCGACATTTATATTCACCACGAAGATCCATAAGAGCATAAATTCTTTTTAAATTAAATTATTGCAAAGTTCAATCATTACTTTGCAATCCTTAAAAATAAAAACTAAGGATATTATTGCTCCAAATATATTAAAATCGGCCAAAAGTTCCTTGATATACCAATTAAAAAATGCTATCATAAAAATTTATTTTATGAACAT